CTACGTCGACCTGAACGTCGTAATAAAGCCAAACGGTTGCATTACAACGAGATTCATCCATCCTCTTTTGGTGAGATCGACCGACGAATCTCTTCTTCATGCACTTTTATACGAACTGAAAGTTATCTCAGTAGATTTATGGAAACCCAGTTACTCTTCGTACCTACAATGGGCGAGGATTGCTTTGGAAGAGTGAAGAAATTTGGATTGTGGCAAAAAGCCGTCGACTCATCGTCCTGCTACCAAGATGAACCTGTGCCAACCCTGCGTCCATCATGTGACGCCCACTAGCATAGCGAAAAAGTATACTTTGCAAATGAAAATCCATCAAATACAATAAGCCAAGAAAACAATGGTAATCCGGGTCTCGAGGCTACCAGTATGAGATTTATTTACTCACGTATTTAGTTGATTTCACCTAATCTTGCTTGCCAATAATACCGTTTGGAAAAATGCAACTTTCAGTGGTTCAGCATCTTAAAAAAAATGTTGGTAGCATACAGCTCGAAGTTTTGCCAATCTAGTAAGAAATATGTAAAAATTGCTTCGGTTCCCGGTGAGATCAATTATAGAAACTAAAAGTCATGCTAAAATAAATTACCAACTAATTCTTCCAATCCCAATTTTCCCTTTTATGCCTGTTGATCTGGCAGTGATTGCATTTACAAACGACGAGCTGAAAGAGCCTGCACATTTGCATCCCCGTTAAACGTGTACAGGCCGAAGAAACGGAGCCGGCCATGCACGTAACACTTGACCAGGGTCACCGAGGCCAGTTCCGGCCGGACGGTCTTTTTTGCCTCCACCTCGCATCAAACCGCCTCTGGGCTGTGGCCATACCCGGCCGCCTCACCGCGCCCACTGCTCTGAGCCAAACAAATGGCCAATTCGGACCAGTCGAGTGGAAGTGGCTCATTGACGCAAGCCGAGGGAGGAGTGGGAAATGTGTCCGGCTGGCCGGTGTACGAGGACGCGAGCCAGGCGCGTGAGCATCGCTCGAACCGCCTTTCTACGGCCTCGAGGCTGCGACGTGATTGAGTGGAGTTGACAGGTCTTGAGTCGGGCCATTTTTCGCCTCCTGTTGACCAGCGGCGCGAGGGGATCAAGTGGCCTTTCACAATTGCCGGAGGCCATTCTAGTCAGCAAGCCCTGTCCGCCTCGCCTGTTCTCTCCGGCCAGGCCGGCTTTTGGTCTTTCTCTTAAGCCCGTTCGCTTCTGTACCTACTTTCACTTTTTTCCCCACTTCTCAGTGTAGCATAGTCTGTCTCGCAATGACGACTCCACCTCCAGCCTCCTCTTCTCCAACCGTCCGTTAGCATCACGACCGGCCAGATCATTCTGGCCGCCCTCTGTCTCCGGCGCGTCGTCCTACCTGAAGCAACGACAGTTTGACCCCCGCCAGAGCAAATAGATGTCCAGCAAATAGATCAAATTTGCTCAGCTTTAAAGAGCCTAATGGTCGGAGACGAGCTCAGGCCAGCTCGAGATGTGGGCAAGAAAAGGTGGGCCGAACGGCCAGATGGGGGCAAGGGTTGTTTGGTGATTTTTCCTGGCTCCCCTGGGCTGGATTGGATTGGATTGGACGACTGAACAGTCCGGACCGATTTACATTCCTTTCTATTCCTCTCCAGTGCGTTGACAAGACTGCCACGATGACTAGTATTGGTAGTGGGGATCAATTAGCAGAGTACACGTCGACCGTCGAGTGCGAGTCCTTGAAACGCTTGCCCTGCTCCTGCCGAACGTGTGCTCACTCGGCCATGTGTACCATGCTCGGACCAATTGTCTCCGGTTAAAGCACCTACAAACAGATGTACAAACACTTGCACATTTGCATAGATTACGGCTCAAAGTTCGGAATACACACACACACACACACACACAAACATAGAACGATCCTAGGTGAGATGGGCTAAAGAAAGCGCGTGCTCAAATGAGTTGTTTTGAGGTGTGAAGGCGAAGACAAACAGTTTCTGCCGGAAAAATAAGGACTCAGCTGCAGGCTCCTCAGCATCGAAGGCCCCTACTCTGCCTTCTCATGCCTGTCTTCTCCCATCTTTCTACTTGATTGTCCCACCATCCGCTCAATCATCTGGATACCACCCGGCTCCTGGCTCCGATACGGGATACATCTCCGAGTCCCCGCCCCTCGGTGACTCAGCCAGAGCGCAGAAGTTTGTCGCTCCACTCTCCTGAACTCCGGCCGGCACCCGGAGCGCCCAATAGCTCCGTTTCACTCTCGTGCACATACACGTGCACACAAATAAGCACACCTGAAAACACATACTACTAACTTCCCACACACATGTGAATGCCTATCTAATGATATATACATATATATATATGCACATACGGCAGGGCCAAAAAGTGTGTCTAGACCATCAAGAACTGTGCTTACTTCATCAGCTATTTTTTTTTAATGCTAAATTTTAATCAATTTTGAAAACAAGATTACATAATTTTCCACTAATATAATAGTCAACAAATG